AAGTTTTTTATTTTATTTTTATGTATAATTTCTTTTTTTAAATATTTTTTTCTTATTATTTTTTCTTATATAAAAAATATAAATAAATATATAAACAAACATAAGTACATTATTCAGAATAAAAATATATTGGGTTATTTAGACAATTTGTAATAATTTTTATAATAAAATTGAAAACAATTTTTATATGTTTAGAGTCATCTTTGTTTAGTAATATTATATATGCACCGTTGTTTTCGATAACTTTTAGCCATCTTTAACAACTTGTGCATACATTATTAAAGATATATAAACATATAAAAATTATTTTCAATTCTGTCTTAAAAAAATTCTACAATTTCTCTGTTAATTATTCAATATATTTTGTTCTGATCTGTCAATCATGAAATACATTTAGGAAATATTCCAGGATTAAATATTCATCAACGCATCTAAGTCCTAGCCTATCCATTTTAAGATAATGAATCGAAGAAATAGTGTACCTTTTATAATTTTATTTAAAGTATTCTGGTGTATGATTATATTTTTAATATTATATGATTAATATTTAATATATATGGATTCAAAGGGCTATTAGGCTGATGAAAGTTGTTTCAACTTCGGGCTCAATCAAAATCAAAATTAGAAACACTTTGCTTTTTTTTAATGTACAACGCATTTTGCAGGTTACATATTTTTTAATAATTTTTATAATTATAATCTAGTATAATATGTATCTTTTCTAGATATATATAATAATATTGGTAACACATAATTAAATTTAATATAAATTAACTAAAAAAATAAAATAACTTTGTTCTTTTAAAAACAAAATGCACGTACAACTCAAAATACTTTTAAAAAATACGAGAGAATAAAATTTTGATATAACTACTATAAGGCAATAAAAATTATACGACCTGCAAAGTGTCTCGCGTCTATATATTTTCACACTATTATTCGATCCATTATCTTAATAATAAAAGACAAATTAAACTAACTCACCGACGATGCGCAGCAGCGGAGTTGTCGTTCTGTTGATCTGCATAGTTGATCTGTAAAACACGAAATAAATCAAAATTATAGCAGCGTTCACAATATGAAATATTTGTGAAATCATAAAAAATATTGAGTACATTGAACTTTTAATTCGTTTTCTAAGCAAATATGTAATAAAAGAATTATTAAAAAAGTTTAATTATTTAAATAAAAAGTAAAAAAATATGCGAATAAATTTTAATAATGATAAATATTAACTAATGTAAATATTTTGTCTTTCAAATATTTTAATGTGTGTGTACAATATTTTCAACAAATAAATGAATTATTGCTTACCGTAAAGTTGCTCCGCCGGTGCCCGATGCTCCTCCTGAGCCTCCTCCTCCTCTCAGTGGTCCTTCGAAGCACTCACATTGAATCACACGCGTTCGCGGCGCATGCATTGCTCGCATGCGTACCTGAATACGAAAATCGCGCGATACTTAACACGGCACTCCCGACATCACAGGCGAATCGAACCGAATTGTCCAAGCTGCGACGTTACGCGCGAATTTCGTCCGCGTTTCAGACGACCACATTTACCAATTGGGGCACGATTCTCTCAAAACAGAAGGCAAAGATAAGCTCGAAGAAGATGAGGTGATTAGTCATCCAATCAACCGACTAGATACAAGGCATCTGAAAAGCAATCGGTAGCGTTTGACTAACTCCGGTAGCCGTCCTCGACTACCTTCGACAGTCCGGCTATCTGTACAACTAGCGCGCTGCACGTAGAACCGAAGATTGCCCTGCCGTAGTGGAGATTTTATGATTGAAACCGACCTTTCCCTCCCCCGAGCCAAGCCTAAAGTCAAAAAAAATCGTGTCCCAATATTTGTCATACAGCAAAAATGCGTTCATCTATAGATTCGCTATAACTCTCGGCATTAACGACACTCCCGACGCGCATTTATTACGACGATCACACGGTATTTTACACACTCCCGACGCGATTTTGTCGTATAAGGACAAAGGTATAACTCGGATATCGCTTGTCGCACGGAATACACGTTCGACACTCCGCGCCGAACAATATGTACGCAACAGGTAATGATGGAAAAGAGGGAAGAGGGTGGAAAACTGTGGAAAGTAGTAAGAGTGGTAGGGGGAGGGATGATGTAGACCAACCAACCCGTACGAGTGCCGCCGTGCGACTGGTAAGGGGCAAAATACCACAGGATACCTCAAGGACTTTGCGCAGGCTTAGAAGATAACACGCGCAGAAGTAATACGTAGGGAATTCGAAGCAGGATAATGTATGATAGTAGAAAAGAAAGAGATAGCGAAAGTATGGAATGCGTAAACAGCGCGTACGCCGCGACCAAAACAACTCCCAAATGCTATGTGTAAGTCTTGTTTTCTCTGCAATTAACACAATATGAAATATTTTTCATGTATTACAAAATAATTTCAATTTCGACAAATAAATTACTATCGTACTTTTTGTCGTATTATATCCTCAAAATTTTTAGATTTATCAGCGTTGTCTAAGTTAATAATTAATTTCAGTTGATCAAAATTTCGCAAAATTAACTCTCAGTCAACGTTAACGAGTTTATAAAATAAAGGCGCACAAGTTGCAATACTAACTTATTTATGGAAATTAAAATTTAAAAGGAAACAGAATTTATTAACTTGTAATATGTTAAATATGATATTTTAAAGCACATCAAAAATGCGCAGCGTTTCGATTCGAGACGTTAAGCGATCGTGGACAGGAAGTCTCTAACATTGTTCCTTTTGATAAGAACGCACAGAAATGGATAAGTAATATGATTAAAAAAAGTAGTGCAATCTTGTTCACGATTGTGTATATTCAAGATCATCATGAAAGAATACGCTTGATTGCTATCCTAAGCCTGAGGGGCATGCAGAGATCGTTACGCATGTTATATACTTCACGACACGCAATTCTATTAATCGCCGGTAATCCGAGCATCGTCATCCCTTGAAGTACAATCGTGGCGTCACGCGTCGCACGATCTTGGACTACTTGCAGCCAATTTTACGGCCTTGTCAACTGACGCAGCCGAAACTAAAGAATCTTGCATATACACATACGTGTATTCACTCATTTTGCAAAAATGTAATGTTACAACACGCCTTGAAATATCGCGTGCAAACGTATCATATTTTTAATTCTTTTTCTGCGTTGTGTTGGACGACAAACTTTAATTCGTTAATTTTTAACATTTGAATTTTAATATCTAATTATGGTTTATCGCAGCATGATATAATAAAAAGTGAACTGTATGAATTTTGTATTATGTATGTAAATATACAAGAAATATACAAAATATATTACATCACATTAACAAGAGACACAAATTTATTCTTTGAGTTTATTGTTTTTTATTTGGTTTCGTACAAAATAAATATACTAAACACAGAGATTTTGTGTTAAATTTTAAATATGCCGATTTTTATGATGTGTCTCATTTGTAAATGTAAACTGTATTGAAGTAAAAAGAAGAAAATAGAGATTTAATAAGAATGAATTAATATAAAAGAATTCGTGACCGCATTTTTCAGATTGGGAAACATTTGTTCTATAACAATAGTGTACACTTATCAATACAGAATTGGGGTAAACACATAGATGCCGATAAAGACTACAGGAAGAGAGAGTTTGTCACCTTTCAGTTTTATTGCGAAAGTTCCGGTTGTCTTTTATACACGCGATATGTGTGCACTTTACGCAAGACTGACGCCTTTAGAAAAAGTATGGTATACACACACACATCCCATAAACATTAAAATTTACAGAGAAATCATCAGTAAACTCTACTTTTGAAAGTAATAAAAATAAAAGTTTGTAAAAGTTGAACAAAAATAAAAATATAAAACAAGAAAAAATGAAACATTTCCAATATAGGACAATTGTTAGAATTTTACAAACTTTAGTATTGAAAGCGATAAAGATAAACTAATCTCTTAGTAAGCATTAAAGAAACGTAACGATATGATGTTGAACATAATGTCACGACTATGTATAGAAACTGTTACATAAGATTGTATTCGGAAGACATTGAAAAGTAGAAAAATGAAAAGAAAATAGTTCTTTTTATTATATCATAACGTACGAAACTGAATTGAGAAGTAGATTCTTTAGGGAATTTGAATTTATTTTTTCTATAAATCCAAAATCATGCTTTTCATATAATATTTTATGTTTCATCATCAAATACCAATAATTAGGCCATTAATTAAAAAATTTCTTACAGAATACTCTGACTCTTGTATTCAAATAAAGATTTATGAAACTGACGTACCATCATTTTACATTTTAGAAAAGAGTACATATATACCTGTGAATGAAAGAAAATGTAAATTCTGCAAGAGATAGTTTCCACATCTTCGGGCGTGTCGCACCGATTCTTGTCAATGTCCTTGTCATCGCGGCTCCTAAGTGCGACCTAAGCTCAAACAACCGAGACCACCTTGAAGAATGAGGAGGGGCGTTGACGTGTTAGAGGAGAGGATGTATATAAGGTTTTACACGCGCTAGTATGAAAGCAGATCATTTCTTAGTGTCTTGAACACTGTGTTTTCTGAAAAAAAAAATGCAAATAGTGCCGTCAGCAATATGAAGCTGTTCTTTGTTGTAAGTAGATTAAATATTTTTTCTCAAATCTGGGTGTGACAATTATTTATACATTAGATCTTCCGCTGTTTTCTGTCGTGTTTTCCACATTTAAAACTAATAGTATTCTGATGTGTGCGGAATAATTTTAAATTAAATTGTCAAACTTGACATAATCTTTAATTGATTTAATGCTATTTATGCAATTTCTTCGTTTTTTCAGCGTTAAATATGTAGTTTTATGTATAATTATATATTATTGTTCACAGATATCAACTTTAACCGGTCTAGTTGCATTGTGTCATAGTGCAAGCGAATTACCGGAATCAAAATTGCTCCCAAAATTAACGCCGATAAACGACGCACAAGGTGTATATGCAAATAATGCAGATAACGCGGGAGATTTGACTCAATCTGCGAGCGATCGAAGTAAGTATAACAATATTTTATTCTGAATTGTATACCTATCGATATTCTTATTAAGATCATTACTTATGGATAAAAACAAAATAATGATATTTGCAACGATAAATCATTGATCGTAGAATAATTCAAGGAAATCGCTGGTGCATAAGCAAACTTTTTTAATGTGACAATTTAATGACTACTTTGTTGCGTAACATAACAGGGTCACCATATAGAAACGTTATTCCATTTGTGACATTAATTATTCCATAATTTTTTAAGTGTCTCGTCACAGCTGTGTTAGAAATTTGTAAAAATCGCATCAAGAGTGCATTGCAGAATTATAACAATCATATCTTGAACTATTTTCTGTGAGATTCCATGGATTACGTGTTATTTCCTTGTAAGAGTCGGAAGGCCTTCGAGCGGCTTGTTATATTAGCATCTTATTACACCGGTGTCGGTCTTTTCCTTTTTGCTACGGGAAGCGCCCGACTCTCAAAGTCAGAGCGTGGGAATGGCAGTGACACGCTTCGTTAATATGCCAATTACTCATCGCACTATTACGCTATCGTGTTAGATATGAATCGATTTTTATACCTATTGCCGCTTATACAATCTTATTTTGCACATGTTAATTCACATCATTATACAGTGCGCGGTCAATACCTCGATTAATAATTATTGCACTATATGTATATTATTACATATAAAAGTTGTGCACGTTATTTTCTTTATTGATATATTCATAGATTTCAATCATTTCTTTCCACAAAACTCCATTTCTGATTTAATGATTCGCCAAGAACAATTATTTTCATGAAATTGATAGATGTTTGCTCGGCGTATAATTTTCTAATATAAACAAATGTTTGCGTCAGCATTTCATATAACAAAAGATTATGGAGGGTATCCTGGAGGGTATCCTGGAGGGTATCCTGGAGGATATCCTGGGGGATATCCTGGATATTCATACGGCGCTAATCCAGGAATCATTGGATCCATTTATCCTGGTACCTCGTATCGTGGTAGTAGCTTGATTCCAGGACACAGAGGCTATCCAATAACTGGACCAGGAGGACTTCTTGGTGGCGGTAATGTTGGGTAAGATCCGATTATTATATCTTTTTATCTGTATTTTAATTATTTAATAGTTGTTTAAGCTTGATGATAAGTTATGTACGATCGGATCTTGCTTTCCGAATGATTCTCTGTAACTGAGTGCGAAATAGATTAAGAAAAGAGAAAAAAAAATTTGTTGCAGCTATGGGTATTACGGTAACGCGGGAAATTATCCCGGATCTGCATATGGTGGATATGGTGGATATGGTGGATATGGTGGCTATGGTGGATATGGTGGCTATGGTGGATATGGAGGTTACGGGGATTACGGAAGAGGATCTGCTCTGGGAGGATACGGAGGTTACGGAAGTTATGGGGGGGTCGGAGGTTACGATGATAATTATTTGGGATACGGACGTGGTAATTACAATCGTTATGATGGCGTAGGTGGATACGATACTTATGGTACAAATTATGGCTCGACATACGGAACCAGAAATGCGTATAATCCATATCGCGGAAGCAGTTATGGTTCCACTTCGCTTAGTAATCCGACTGGTTATCGTGGTTATTCTTAAGCACATGATTTTACATTTCCACATAGCGCAAAAATATTACAGTCAAATATCTTTACAAATTAATGTTATTAACATGTCTCGTTATCAGAATGAACGAATTAATTATGTCATTAATATTTCTTAAATATGCAAAAATTAATATGTCTCACATGTATAATGTAAAAATAAAACAATGAAACTTTATAATAGTAATTAGTATCATATTTTTGTTTGATTTTTAAATAATCAATTTTTATAAAATTGAAAATTTATGTAAAATTTATAATATTAGAAAAAGTAAGTTGATAGAATCGTAGTATTCGTGCAAAACTTTTTATGTTATTTATGTAACAATGGCTTTATATTATTCAGCTAACAAATGGATATATTTCGTTATGCTGAATAATAGATTTGACAGCATTTATTTTGAAATATGGGATACATGTAAGTAAGAATAACCTATATTATTTATATCGCGGAGTATAAACATATATTAATTATAGAACGCACATAAGTTAAATCACATATATATATGCATAATAATCTACACATATATATCCTGTGCATAGTATGCTATATAATCCGTATAAAAAACATGATTTACAAATGATGTACAAATTCAAAAAGCTGCAAAAGTAATTTTTCTTGTTAATATCAATTATTTCATATTAATTAAAAATTCAACAATATTCAAAAAATTAAGTATTAAATATTAATAAATTTGTGTTATGTGAACTGCTCGCGTAAAAAGCCGAATTTTAATTTTGTAGTAAATATTTCGATAAATATCAATTTTCAAAAATATACCTTACACTCTCGCTGTTATAAGAGAAAAAATAAAATTGTTTAATAAAAATTTACGTTTTTTTTATTTATTTCTCTAATTATTGCTGAATTTATCAAGTATTCTAGATTGATATTAATAGTATCTGCATATCAGACTACATCATAATAGTCCGCGTTAAATGTACATCATTATATACTATTTGTGTACATTTTTATCAAAAAGTCGAATATAAAACAATGACAGAAACAATAATCCTTATTCTAAATTGTATTGTAAATAATAATAAATATTAGGATATTGGTTGAAAAACGTAAGGAATAAACTGAGGTCTTACTTGCGAAAGATCTCAACAGTTTTATGTCAAACTAAATATTAAACAAATAACCATAATCAGCGATTCAATACAAATATTACATACCTCTATTAATATTTATGCATAACAATATCCATTTTTGTAAATAATATAACATATTTAGGTGATGAAGCAATTAGAGCAATATGTAAAAGATCCAGAACAAGAATGCTATTGAACTATGTCCATCTTTCCTTTGAACTTTCTTGTATTTCACTGATTTTGGTTATTCCGATAATTGTTATAAATGTTTTTAATTGGCCATCCATTAGCTATGCAGCAGCTGACGGACAGGCAATGCCAATATCCAATATTTATTGATAAATTTTTCTTAGAATGATTCGCAATTTAAGATGAATAAGTTAGTGTTACACTATTTATTCTGTCTTTTTGATCCTGCTCCTCTTTCGCTCGGCGCCGGTTTTAACTGGAACATTCAAAAAGCCAAGATTGGCTTGCTTTAATACCTCTTTGAGATAATCGACATTGTTAAGCTGCTTTACGTCGAGTGTTTGTATCCCAAGTGTGCCGTCTTGCGTGCCGCATGCATCGCATGCATATGGAACGGGAGTGGCAAATGGAAACATGGTCTTCATCTTATTGCTGTCCGTCTCATTGCCAGGACAGTATGGTACAAAAATGACGGGAATAAATCCGAACTGACCAATGACAGGGATGGGGGTTGTGCTGGTTGCTACATTTGTATTGTTATTCGATTCGACTAGATAACAGGGACATGCTTGCGGATCTGGCCCTACTGGTAGCGAAAAGGGCTTGACTTTGATGGAGCTGGGAGGCTGAACCCCGATAGCGTCGAAGCCGGGATTCGCCTGAGGTTCGAATGATTCAAGATGTGCATTTACCTGATTTTGCGGAACAATAGAAGGTCCATCCAACTGAAATGGTAATTCAGTAATGGAAACGTTAGAAATTGGTTTGCCATCCACATCGGCAAAATTATATTGCGGTTCGTGCACATTAAACGTGCTCTCTTGTCGTCCCAATTTGTCGAACTGATTCGAACCTTTACCTTGTCGTTGCGAGTTATCAGTCGGATATAAAACTGATTTTTGATATTCGCCTTGATTGTGCACAGAAATTCGATTGAAATTATTCTTCGGGTTTTTAATTTCTTGCGGCTCTGTCACGTAGTTGTAAGGTCTTGGCGTCAGCTTAATTAAATCTGCATTTTCATAATCTCTCACATTGTATTCCAATAACGATGGCGTTGGACCTGTTTGCAACAGTGAGTTAATTTCGTCTGCATTATAGGTACCTTTTTCCTTCTCGTAAATTGATGATGGGAATTTGCTTTCGTATTGAGGTTCGTACAGCCTGTATTTTGTATATGATGGTGTGTCTACTTTCGTTGAATGTGACAATTCCGTCAATTTAGTATCCTCTTCGATATAGCCTGCGTATGAAGAATCAGTTTTGCCACTAAAGTAGTATTGCGTATTATACTTGTTAGTGTCATCAGAATACGTTTTCGATTGCTGATTTTTTATCAGTCTATCAGGCAAAGGTCTTCTGGTTGGTTTTACTCCAGGCACGTAATCTGGATCACCAGGCCATGGCCCATCGGGACCTGGTGAACCAGTTGGCCAAGGACCATCAGGACCATCTGGTCCGACTCCTCCATCACCACCAATACCACCGATACCTCCGATACCGCCAACTCCACCAATCGGACCTTCGGGTCCTATTGGTCCCTCCGGACCGTCTGGCCCTTCCGGATATCCTGGATAGCCAGGATAAGGAGGATAATTGGGATAATCTAAAAAATATAAGATAATATCATTAACAAAAAACTGTTCATTCAAATGTTATTACGCGATCTTAATCTACTTAGATATCTTAATTTTAAAAAGAATGTTACAACTATATTGTAAAAATAAAATTAAATAAATAATATTAAATAAGCAAAAAATTAATTCAAACTTTAGTTGTACTGACAATTTTATTTTTAAATTCAAAATATTCAAAAAATGTTTATATCATTATGTTCAAATACTTTTTAAAATATTATTTCTAATTGTAAGAAACATGTAACAAGTCGACAAAAATTTCTAAATGTACTTACTGGGTTTGCTTGGAATACCTGGAGTACCCGGAAAGCCAGGATATCCTGGTGTTCCTGGATGCGGCGGAGTTCCCGGAATGCTCGGATATCCTATGAATCGAGGAAACTTTGTTATTAAAAAAATATGATTGAATACTTCTTTTAAAATAAAAATTATAATTTAATTCGGTGTTAATTATACGTTTATGTGTATTGGAAAACTTTATAAGCATACAAATTAGATTTACCTGGAGTACCCGGAATGCCCGGTGATCCTGGCGTTCCCGGCGTGCCCGGTCTTCCTGGATATCCAGGATGTGGCGGAGTTCCTGGTATGCTCGGATGTCCTATTCAATGATAGCATCTTATTATTACAAATAAAAATTTGAATAATTTTTTTAAAACAAAAATTACAATATAGTATATTATTTTAAAAATATAATAATTATAAATATTGTACAGGAAAACATCATAATACTTACCGGGTCTACCTGGAGTACCTGGAATGCCAGGAGATCCTGGCGTCCCCGGCGTACCCGGTATCTCTGGGTATCCAGGGTATGGCGGAGTTCCTGGAATGCCCGGATATCCTACAAAACGATAGCGTAATTCTCATTATTAAGCATATATATTTAAATAATTTTTCAAGAATAAAATATGCAGTGTAGTTTAATTATAAGGTATGTACTGTACTGCTAAAATTTATAAGCATACTTACCGGGTTTGCCCGGAATGCCGGGAGATCCTGGCGTTCCCGGCGTTCCTGGGTATCCATGATGTGGCGGAGTTCCTGGAATGCTCGGATATCCTATCAATCGATAGAGTTTTGTTATTTTTAAAAATATACAATTAAATAATTTTTTTAAATTAAAAATTGTAATATAGAGTTTATTGTTAATTACGAATTTAAACGAATTGTGCGACAAAACGTAAGAATACTTACCAGGTTTACCTGGAATGCCCGGTGAACCTGGCGTTCCCGGCGTTCCTGGGTTCCTGGATGTCCAGGATATGACGGAGTTCCGGGAATGCTCGGATATCCTTGTAATCGATAGAGTTTTGTTATTATTAAAAATATATATTTAAATAATTTTTCAAATATGAAATTAATTAAAATAAAGTAGAATAAAATTAATTTTTATATTTTTTATTTATGTGCGTATTTGAACAAAAGTTTATAATAGTACTTACCAGGTTTACCTGGAATACCCGGAATGCCTGGTGAACCTGGCGTTCCCGGCGTGCCCGGTGTTCCTGGATGTGATGGAGTTCCTGGAATGTTCGGATATCTTATCAATCAATAAAATTTTATTATTATATATTTAAATATTATATATTTAAATAATTTTATTGAATAAAATATGCAATATAGTTTAGTTAATTAGAAATTTAAATGTATTGTGTAATAAAACTTTATAAAAATACTTTCCAGGATTACCTGGAATACCCGGTGATCCCGGCGTTCCCGGTCTTCCTGGATGACCTGGGTGTGGGAAAGTTCCTGGAATGCACGGATGTCCTATTAATCGATAGAATTTTATTTTGAAAAATATATATTTTAATTTTTTAATACTAAAATCTGCAGTACAGATTGTTGTTAATTATAAATTTAAATATTTTATGCAGCAAAACTTTATAAACATACTTACCAGGTTTGCACCTCGGAATGCCCGGTGATCCCGGCGTACCCGGTGTGCCTGGTGTTCCTGGATGTCCAGGATATGGCGGAGTTCCCGGATATCCTATAGATCGATAAAGCTTTATTACTATTAAAAATATATATTTAAAAATTTTTTTATAATAGAAACTACAGCACAGTTTATTATTCATTATAAACACACGTATATATATTATACAGCAAAATCTGATAATTATACTTACCGGGTTTACCAGAAATGCCTGGAATGCCAGGAGATCCTGGAGTTCCGGGGTGTCCAGGATGTGGATGTCCTGGATATCCTATAGAACAATAAAGCTTTGATATTATTAAAAATACATACTTGATTATCTTTTTTAGAATAATAATTACAATACAATTTAGTGTTAATTATAAATTTATGTCTATTGTAAAGCAAAATTTTATAAGCGTACTAACCGGGTTTACCCGGAATGCCGGGAGATCCTGGCGTTCCCGGCGTTCCTGGGTATCCAGGATGTGGCGGCGTTCCTGGATATTCATGATGTGGCGGCGTTCCTGGATATTCATGATGTGGCGGAGTTCCCGGAATGCTTGGATATCCTATGAATTGATAGAGCTTTGTTATTATTAAAGATACATATTTGATTATCTTTTTAAGAATAATAATTACAATACAATTTAGTGTTAATTATACATTTATGTCTATTGTGAAGCAAAACTTTACAAGCGTACTAACCGGGTTTACCTGGAATACCCGGAATGCCGGGAAATCCTGGCGTTCCCGGCGTTCCTGGGTATCCATGATGTGGTGGAGTTCCCGGAATGCTTGGATATCCTATGTATTGATAAAGATTTGTTATTATTAAAAATACATATTTGATTATCTTTTTTAGAATAGTAATTGCAGTATAGTTCACTATAAATTATACATTTATATGTATTATAAAGCAAAATTTTTATAAGTGTACTAACCTGGTTTACCTGGAGTTCCTGGAGTGCCAGGAAATCCTGGCGTTCCCGGTGTTCCTGGGTGTCCAGGATACGGCGGTGTTCCTGGGTGTCCAGGATACGGCGGAGTTCCTGGGTGTCCAGGATACGGCGGGGTTCCTGGAATGCCCGGGTATCCTATAGATCGATAGAACTATGTTATTATTAAAAATACATATTTGATTGTCTTTTTTAGAATAACAATTACAATATAATTTACTATAAATTATACATTTATATGTATTATAAAGGAAAATTTTTATAAGTGTACTAACCTGGTTTACCTGGAGTTCCCGGAATGCCCGGCGATCCTGGCGTACCCGGCGTACCCGGTGTTCCTGGATGTCCAGGATGCGGTGGAGTTCCCGGAATACTTGGATATCCTATGGATCGATAGAATTTTGTTATTTTAAAGATATACATTTAAATAATTTTTTTATTAAAAATTGCAGTATAGCGTGTATTGTCAATTATAAATTTAAATACACATTATGTGACAAAACCTCATAAGCATATTTACCGGGTCTGCCTGGAATGCCTGGTGATCCTGGATGCCCAGGATGTGATGGACTTCCTGGAATGCTCGGATATCCTATCAATCGACATAGAAATTTATTATTATCGAAAATGTATATGTCAATGACATTTTAGAATGCAAAATTAAAATCAAGTTAACTTTTCTCTTTATTTATATTCAATTTTTAGCAAAAACTTGTATTCTTTCTTACCTGGTTTACCGGGTCTACCTGGAATGCCCGGTGATCCTGGTGTACCCGGTATGCCCGGTGTGCCTGGGTGTCCGTGGTGTGGAGGAGTTCCTGGAATGCTCGGATATCCTGTTAAATGATAGAGTATTACCATTATTAGAATTAAAAATTGCAGTACAGTTTATTATATATTATAAATATGCATGTATTGTACAGCAAAAGTTTATAAATATACTTACCAGGTTTGCCTGGAATGCCTGGAGATCCTGGCGTACCCGGCGTGCCTGGTGTTCCTGGGTGTCCTGGATATGGCGGACTTCCTGGAATGCTCGGATATCCTTGTGATCGATAAGATTTTGTTATTATTAAATATACATATCTAAATAATTTTTTTAAATATTATAATTAGAATAAAATTAATTTTTTAATTTTTTATTTATGTGGATATTTTATCAAAATTTTATAATTTTACTTACCAGGTTTACCTGGAACACCTGGTGATCCCGGCGTTCCCGGCGTGCCCGGTGTTCCTGGATGTCCAGGATGTGGGGGAGTTCCTGGATGTCCAGGATATGAGGGAGTTCCTGGAATGCCCGGATGTCCTATTAAATGATAGCAAATTCTCATTATTTAGCATTATTAAATAAGCATATTTAATAGCATATAAGCACATAATAGCATATTTAAATAATTTTTGAGATTAAATATTGCAGTGTAGTTTATTGTTAATTATAAATTTATATATATTGTACACAAACTTGTAAATATACTTACCAGGTTTACCTGGAATACCCGGTGATCCTGGCGTTCCCGGCTTGCCTGGTGTTCCTGGATGCCCGGGATGTGGCGGAGTTCCTGGTATGTTCGGATATCCTATTAAATGATAGCGTATTCTCATTATTAAGCATATATTTTTTATATATTTAAAGAATATTTTTAAAATCAAAATTGCGGCATAGTTTATTGTTGAATATAAATATGTATTTTGCAGCTTAATATTATAAGCGTCCTTACCGGGTTTACCCGGAATGCCAGGTGATCCTGGTAT